ATATAAACAGCTCATTCTAAGGTAAGGAAAATACAACAGTTCTTAAACTGAAAAGATCTGTACTTCCCCCACCTTTAAATTAGCTTAAACTCGTGTGAAGAGTCCCTAATTAAACTTGGGGCCTGTCCCATTTCTACCCCTTAAATCTTCCACTTGGTAATGAGTGCCCTTGTTTGCGAGATAACCCTTGATCAGAGAAGTGAGAAATATTATGGTAGAGATCTTTCCCTAAGAAATGGGACACCACTTCATGCAAATTGGAGTGGCCGACGTGCAGGCATACGTCAAGCGTAGTAGCCACACAAGACACTGGTAGTCATTCAGGTTTGAAAATGCTGGCTCCAGTGCTTGTGTTGTGTTGTATGCAATGTTTATTCTTCTCTGTCTTCTAGTTCTGATCGATTTTGTTTGGGTAAGTCCATTTGTTTAAATATTTTGATGCTGTGTTCAACCGAGTTGCTGAAGAGTTTACATTAGTCCAACCATCTGTTGTTTGTAAAGCCTACATTATGATCATACAATAACAAATTGTTTTCCAAAACTTGCCGAAGTTGCTGACTTCGCAAGGTGTTCTGGGAAATTTCATCTTCCACTTCGGTGAAAGTGTGGGTCAGGGCTCCCTTGGAATCTAGGGCAGGTTTTAAGTGTTGGAAACCACTTCCACTACCTCAATTCTGTTTTGGGACACCACTAGCCTAAACGTGAATGCGCACAACCAAGTGCAAGTGGGTATTTCTAGGGGAAATGTGGGTATTGGGACAGGCTCTTGGTTCCTTACCTGAAGAGCCACGACTCGCTAGGCAACATCTGTTTGGCCATTGTCTTCATAATGACGGGATTGTGGGTCATTTAGCTCAGGATGTTTGTCAACCTCAACAACGAGTCTCTCATCATCCATCCTTCATCACACGAGACACAGCAACAGTTACAGAGATCTCTTTTTATAGTAATGGTGAGGAGAAGGGTTGAGCTGGCATAGGAGCTGAGAAAAAGAGCTGCTACAGGAGCCGATATGGACAAGCAGAGAGTGATTGGGGGAAAAATACATTTAATTTGGGGGCGACAAGGCCGGAGAAAAGACAGTGGCGTGAAGTGCGGTGGGGTGGCACATCCAGGAGCACTGACTCAAATCTAGCCGCTGCCAGTTGGGGGTTGTACATTAAAAATGATAATGGGGGGTGTATTTTTTTGACACGCAAAGCTTTATTATCCGGTGGTTACAGACTAAAGAAAACATACCTATTATATTTTACTTAAGTTCTGCTAATACATCCTTCTAAATCCTGCACACTGGACATTTAAAGAAGCAGAAATAGCATTGTGCCAAGGTGCCAACCAGCCCCGGTCTCACCAATGCTGATGTATCCTGAATTTGGCTCAGCACATCTTTCTAATCACAGCTTTGCATTAGCTTAAAAATCATGTGTGGAGAGCTCCTGATAAAACTTGATTTCTTACCTGAAGAGCCGATCTCCACGCTGTGACTCACCTGGCATAACTGTTTGGCCATTGTCTTCACAATGACGGGATTGTGGGTAATTTAGCTCAGGATTTTTGTCACCCTCAACAACGAGTCTCTCATGATCCATCCTTCATCACACGAGACACAGCAACAGCTGCCGAGTTCTCTTTATACATCCATGGTGAGGAGAGGAGTCGAGCTGCCATAGGAGCTGAGAAAAAGAGCTGCTGCACGAGCTGATACATACAAGCTGAGAGCATCTAGCCGCTGCCAATGTGGGGGTGTGCATTAAAAATGTTAATGGGGGTGTATTTTTTGACACCCAGCGCTTTATTTTCAGGTGGTTATCAATCTGGAAATCCATCGGTAAAAAAAACAAAACAAAACAAAACAAACAAACAAAAAAATTTCTTCCTTTACCTCTGGAGGCAACTGGCAACTAACGGAAGTGCAGGGGTCTCGGGGATCGCTTACCCCCTTCACTTCCGGCGGTGCCCCCAATGTTACACTCCTACCTGCAACTCGAACCAAACGGTGGTAAATAACATGGATCTTTCAGAAGAGCAGTTCGACAACATTTTTGCGGAAGTTGCAGCTCTACATAAAGTTGCAAATTTAAAACCTCTGCAGCACCTTTGTTTAAGGTATTTATTAGAGGAACGCAATGTTTTGGCATGTCTGCCAACTGGCTTTGGGAAAAGCTTGATTTATCAATCTTGGCCAACTGCATGCCCGCTGTTAGCAAATATTTACCCTGAAAAATGGCCCAAGAACGCTATTGTTTTGGTCAACATAACGTTAAATTTAATGTTAACAGGATAACGTTAGAGTTGGGTAACGTTATAACGTGAATTACCACTAACCAACGATGAAGTTAACTTAAGTGTTAAGATGAAACGTTACCATTTCGAACTGCAGACATGTCTTGACTGGACTTCTTTCGGAGTATAAAAACGTTGCCGCTAATGCCCTTTTTTTCCTGTCGTGAGGAGTGGAAGGTGTGCTGGTGGATGCACAACACTTGTAAGTTGTGCTGTTGTCCATGTTTTTCACTTTGACGAGACGGCGTTTTGGGTGGAGCAGTCGCCATGGACGCGGAGCTTGCTCTATCTGCAGGTACACATTTCCTGGGGACACCTGCACGTCTCGGCCAGCCCCCTCCATTGTGATAGAATCTGTCTTGAGAGATAAGGTGGCAAAAGATTTATTGAATCTCTGCTAATATACCCCCCTAAATCCTGCACTTGTAACCCACTTGTAGCAGTGTGCCAAGGTGCCAACCAGCCCCTGTCTCCCCTATGCTGATGTGTCCTGAATTTGGCTTTGCACATGTCTATCTAATCACAGCTGAAGCCTCCCTGTTGGACACTCACACATGCTGATGACGACCGCCACGATGATAACACTGTTGATTTTGACTGCCTTGATAGTTTCAAACTCTCCTCTAGTGCTCTCCCCAATAAGGCGGCAGCCAATGGGTGCGAGGGGCGGACAGCACCCACTAGGGGAGTTGTCTACCTCCAAGTCATCCGATTGGGCTGCCTTCAAAAAGGGCAAACACGCTCCTTCTCTTCTACTTTGAACCTCCGCCTCCCTCCTCCTCCTCCAGAAATAGAAAGCTTTGGCAGAGAGGGCGCTTCTAGTAGTGAGCGTGAGGACACATCAGCAAAATACATCTGATACACAGTCTCAGCCAGGCTCCACGCTCCGTGTCTGAGTGGTTATCATTAGCCGCAGCAAATCTTCCGCTGGCTCAGCATCAGCAGCGTCTGAAACCCTCAAAGAGGATATCGCTTAGAGATAACCAGCTTGGTTCGACACCAAGCCGGAGTTTGTAAATTGCCAAGTTCAGGGAAAACTCCGGAACATCTCTAACAAAGTACCCAACTAAAAGGGCTTGTGACGTTCAATTTAGCCACCGAGCTAGCTTGACACATTTCAACCGTTAGAGTCGCGAGGGAATGGCATTGGACTTCGCCGCGGGCTGCGTAGGAGGTAAGTCGTTAGCCGGGATTGATGTTAGCTAGCAGCAACGTCAGCCAGGTTAACAAGTTGGAGCTAGCATTAGCATTAGCCAGCTTTCCGTTTTTTTTCCCCATCGTCTGGCAGCGCGTGGACAGCTATGGCTGTAAAGGTAGTGATTTGTCCACAGCTGCCACGTCTGAGAAACATGTAAACAAACTGCAACGACAAATTAAAGACTTAAAATCACAACTTTACTTTATATAAAGGTTACTTTTTGGCTAAATGTATGGGGAAATCCCGGATGTACGTTGGTGAAGCTGCATTCCATACCTGTCTGACGCATAGGGAGTGGTACTTATATTCTGTGCATTATGGAGCATCATCACCATTTAAAAACACTTTAATGTGATTTAAACTTGCCCAGCTAAACCTAAAATGATAAAGGGGAAGGTTTTATCTATAGTGGCATCATATTTCCTCATGATTCTTTATCATCAGATATGAATCATCTTGAGTTAACCCCTATCATTCCTCCTTAAGGAGTAATCTTAAGTTAAGGGAGTTCATGCCCTCCTGTCTGGAGATAGCTCACAATCACCTCAACCCAAACCCTTGGGAATCTGTCAGCTGTTTTGTCTCAGCCCAAGGCCAGATCTTCCCAAACTTGAACACATCAAGGACTCCAGATAGTTCCAGAGGTCCCTGGGGGTGATTAAACATACACAGAGAGCCTGCTGCAAGAGTTTTAGTATATATGTCCACATAATAGTCAGTCATATTTGCCTAAAGCTACTCTGGATTCAACACTATACTATTTAGTTATCCCTTAGCTGATTCATGCATAGCAAAGTCTGTCCCAATGCAAGCTGCCACAGGATATGTTTAACTGGAGGTTATGCAACCATAAGCTCAAAACAAGTGCATAGAATTGCAACACACTTTTATAAACATCCATGCAGTAATGCCACACCACAACACTTAATAAATAATCAACATTGCTGTATCAGTAGTGATGTGTGCGTAAGTTGCAAGGTCACGGACGATGAGGTGTCAGTGTGTTACATTTGACGATTAGATGCCTTTGATGATGGATTGGCTGACAGGTCCTAATAAGACACGGTCAGAAGTTAACCGTTGTATAATGGATTTTCGGCTCGGTCAAGGACAGGACATGACAAGGCACTGTCAAGCTTTCGTCACAGGGTACAGTGCAGTGACCAGCTGATTATTTTACTCCGTTTCAGGGGGGATGGGCTGTTTGATATGGAGAGATCGCCGCTTGATTATAAGCAAATGATTTGTTTTATCGTCATAAATCGTATATTCGTATGTGATTTTAAGTCCTGTCTCTTGTTTTTCAGGTGCTGCTGGTGTTTTGGTCGGACATCCATTCGACACCGTGAAGGTGGGTGCATCTGTTCCATCCTCCTCACTGTTTATTCACGTTAGGCAATGGCATGATCCAGGACGTTGTGTTTTAGCGAGTCAGACCACTCTGTTGAATTTGAACCCAGGTAATCCAAAGTTGCACAGTCAGCCTACACTAGGAATGAGGTAACTGAGCAAGAGGAATGGGATATTGATTACTGTAGGGATATTACTGTATTGAAGACATGTGAATTTGTTTTGACATGTTTTACATGTGTATTTCTCTAATTCTAAACAGCTCACTTACTCACATGCCATTCCTATAAATGTCAGTATTCATCAGCAACCAAGTACTAAATATAAGCTGCTGTTCTTAACTTCAGTAAAGTTACTTCCCTTTGGATTTAAATAAAATTGTCATTTTATTTTAGGCTATTGCTACTGCCATTTTCCTGAATAAATCTTGCACTCCCTAATAGAAATAGTAGAAGTAGCATGGGCACTAAAGTTAGTGGACGTGTTTATGTAGTAGTCCTTTGGCTTGTAGCTTCTTGTTAGTTAAAGTAAAACAAAGATTTTTTTCCTCAATACGTGTTTGATTTTCTGACGTCGCATTTTATGATTTCTGTGAATTAATTAACCATAGTTTGCTGTCATTAATCATTCACTTGATTTATTTGAAAAGACGAGGCACGAAAGTTTTAACTATAGCACAAAACTGTTTAAATCTGCAGCATCCACTTAGGAGGCGCGCAGAGATGATGAGTGGTTTGGTTGTAGCTCTTTTATACCCTGCTTTTATTGTCATGTCTCCCTGAGCTGAGAGGGAGGCTGTCTTTTTAACAGCAACAGTGTCACTGTGTTGTAGATGAGAGGGAGAAATAAACAACCTCTCCATGGGAATGTGACCTAGTAAGTATGGTCAAGGTCTTTATTTTTTTTCCTCCTCTCACCCAATGTCTTGTCTTGAGTTATAGAAATATAAAGCACAGAAGACATTTTGTTTTTTATACATTCTCGGTAAATCTTTTTTCTCCCTCATGTTGCACCCCTTAGCATTTTTGTTTTTACCCCTGAAAGAACCATTTCAAAGCTCTGTTGCCTGCTTGTTCCCCCTTCAACCTGTTATACAATATGTGGTTTGTATTATCTGTGGTCCTGTTGTTGATCATATGACTCAAACATGAGGGCTGTCATCCACAGGTGAGGCTTCAAGTTCAAAATGTGGACAAACCTCTGTACCGTGGGACGTTTCACTGCTTCCAGTCAATCATACGCCAGGAGTCAGTGAGTTTGTGACCAGTGTCTCTTAATGTTTTACTTGTTTATTCTCTTTCGAAGGCTGCAGCTTAACATATCATGGCTGTGAAGTAGCATGCGTAACTGTCACCATGTGCGACTATGCCAAAGTTGAGAATGCTCACCGCGCTGATTGAAGTGTCCGATTACAGTCCCATCTCTAAACGCAGGCATCAGCCATGTTCCTAACATGGGGTGTTGGGGGTGAAAGGGGGCAGAGGTGTGTCTGTTAGCCAGGGTCAGTGAGTACCTTATTCCTGCATGCGCTAAATTAAGCTGTGGACGTGGTGCCATTTGAGTGGAGTATGCTTGGTCTCAGTCAATTCCTCGTGGCTGTTTCACATGGAGGTATTGGATTGTGTTCCTCACGCTGTACAATATGAAAATGTTAAGTAGTTTTCAGCTTGATTTAGACGTTTAAATCCTGCTGTTTTTTTATTTAGCCGTTATATGACGGGTGTCAGTATTGCCACATTTTATTTGTAAGGGCTGAAAGGAATCAGCAGGCTTGAAGAATATTTGATTCTCCAATAGGGGTGTAAATCACAGGTTCAAACACAATACAATGTCATATATATTCTTTGGACAACGGTACAATATTTGCTGATATCACAAAATCTGCCACAGTATGATTTGAAATTGATTGATGTGAGTTGATGTCAGTGAATATCCTCATTGTCTTTTTCTTGGCTGCTAAACGTTATCTGCCTGGCACAAGGCTGTTTGCACTGTATGAATGTTTAGGAAGGAGGTGTGCTCGGCTTGGACATGATGACACAGACATGCCATGGGACTTTCAAAATAAAAGCTCATCTGCCTTAAAGATGACAATATGTATTGATGTTTTGATTGAGCCAAACCAGTGTATTGGTCTGGATTAATTCCTGGGAATTGATAACTAAATTGTGCGCACAAATGAATGCAGATGCCCTTTAACATCTGCACATCTTCGTTATCATCAGATAAAGGCTTTAAAATGAAATATCAGCATCAGCCAGAAATCCACTTTTTCACTGATTTGAGAGGCCGATAACATGATGCTTAAATTATGTTGCTTTAATTAGTCCAAATAGGTCAGTTCAATCAGGATTGTCTCGGGGAAAGTGTCACTCAAACCTGTCAAAGTAGGACGGAAATAAAAATGTGTTTTCATAAACCCTAAGTTTAACAAGTTTTCTTATTTTGCCTAGTGCATGTGTACATTTTGAAAATAACTGTATTTTATGTCTACATTTGCCGGTGGGCCATTACAAAAGGAACAGGCATAATGATATGTTTATTCAACCACAGGAGAGGCTTAAATGTCTCTGCATTAGGTGGAAAGACATATGTGCAGATTTCAGAATCGGCAATTGGCCTAAATGAGCTGAAAAATAGCAAAAGTCCAGTATCGTGCATCCCTGCAAATGATCTAAAAGTTTTCTACCTGCTGGGCTCTGTAAAGTTCTTAATGCATCACAATGGTGTTCCCTCACTGGTCCCAGTAATCTGTCTTTGTGTCTGCAGATGCTCGGTCTGTACAAAGGCATCGGCTCTCCAATGATGGGCCTGACCTTCATCAATGCCATAGTTTTTGGCGTCCAAGGCAACGCCATGCGCAAGCTTGGCCGCGACACACCTCTCAACCAGTTCCTGGCTGGGGCCTCTGCTGGAGCCATCCAGTGTGTGATTTGCTGCCCAATGGAGCTGGCCAAGACACGCATGCAGATGCAGGGGACTGGAGAGAAGAAGTCAAAGAGGAAGCTGTATAAGAACTCCCTGGACTGCCTGGTGAGAATCTACAAAAAGGAGGGAATCCGAGGTATCAATCGTGGCATGGTGACCACCCTGGTGCGCGAGACACCTGGTTTCGGTGTGTACTTTCTCGCTTACGACATGTGGACACGTTCCCTTGGCTGCGAGCCAGAGGATCCTTACATGATCCCCAAGCTGTTGTTTGCCGGTGGAATGTCTGGCATTGCTTCTTGGATCTCCACTTATCCTGTGGATGTGATCAAATCGCGTCTCCAGGCGGACGGGGTGGGCGGTGTGAACCAGTACAGCGGCATCATGGACTGTGTCAGACAGAGTCTAAAGAAAGAGGGGTGGCGGGTGTTCACACGTGGACTCACGTCCACTCTGCTCCGCGCGTTTCCAGTGAACGCCACCACGTTCGCCACAGTGACTCTATTTTTAATGTACATGCGTGAAGGAGAAGAGTGCAGCATTCAGGACTCTGAGCCGCAGTCTGTGCAGCTGCAGCCGCTGCAGCCACAGACGCAGCCAACCAGCATGTGAGCCATCGTGCAGCGGAGTGAGAATTACTACAGTCATCAGCCAATCTATATACAGTAGTATAGATGAAATTTGCAGCTTCATGCAGGTCTATGATCTGTTAACAGGTGTCCATAATCAGAGAGGTAAGCCCTTGGAGCTTCAGCCAAGTGACCACATGTATTATTTAAATAATATATATTTTAAGATAAAGGCTGCACTTGTAAATATTATGGTTTTTAAAAGTCCTTGGGTTTTTTTGTACACACTTTCTTGACTTTTAAGTAATTAAGGAAACTTACTGTAATGTGCAGTGACATTTACAGATGTCCCTACAACTTATAGTAAAAGAAACACTTAATATTTAATGCTGCGTTCGGGTCATCATGGAGTTTACAAGGAATTCATGTTGACAGCCATTTGAGTATTCAAACTTTGACATGTTAATGAACATGAATGCATTTTTTTTACTGTCCCTTTTTGCAAACGTCAATCACTTAAGTACATGTGAGGATTTTATTAATTTTATATATTATATTCTCTCTGTGGTGCCAGGTCAAATCATCCCCTCATTATTTACCTCCACATAGTGTGAACACAGCACTTCAGCATCTTATCGCAACAGTTACAAACACAAAGAAAGCCTTACACGTGTACATTGATGTAGATATTGTTTGATTCTTTTCCTGAGGTTGAAACTGTGTATGTACCTTAACGTTCCTATGAGAGGTCATGGGGATTTGACTCAAGGTGTGGATGCTGTCTTCCGTTTTAATTGGTGAAAAATGTTACAGGCCCATTGCAGTATGACATAAACATGGTTTTGATACAGTCGGATACAAGATAATCGCGTGAAACAATTTAATTTAAAATATTTAATTATACGACACAATCATCATCTAAAACCAAATCTGATACTGTTTTTGATGTTCTTGTCCTGGATATCATACGGTGTCCAAAGAAAGCACCTTATAGTATACTATAGAGCACATGTACGGTTAAAAAGATGTCCCACTAACGCGAGATTCTGTCTCGGTGTCAAACGAAGCTGATGGCATGTTTAAGATGAGCTTTTTAAAATCCAAAATGTGTTTTTAAACCTCGCACTTCTTGTCGATAGATAGGAGCATAATATTTAGCGGGCTTCACAGCCTCTAAAGGAGTTGTGTCATTGTCAGACCAGTTCTGTACACTAACGTGAGCCGCCTAGAGGCAGAGGAAGGAATAGCTCCTGTTACGTTAACACTTTGAGCTGCAGATTTCGTCTGTGTTTGATAAAGCTGCTATTTGTGTGTTTACGAAAGCGCATTCTACATTTCTTTATATTTACGCACCTGTAACAACGCTTACCATCACACAAGTGTTGAAATACAAGCCACTGATTCAGTTGTCTTTAAATCTGACCTTCAAGGTTTTGTCACTAATCTCTAGACAAACAAAATCTGCGTAGGACCCCTCTGCTTCTCTTTCAGTGTCAACCTGGCCAGTCATTATTTGACAGAGGGCACACGCTGTGTCACCTGAAGCAATGTGACCTCTGTGAACTTGAACAGCTGTTAACTGGTGCTTTTAAATCTGCAGGTTTAAACTGCAAACTGTGCCACGTCAAACACTGAGGCTGCAGTCACGCACTAAAATGCCTTTGTCAACCCACCTGCAGGAGACACAAAGTTTAAACATTGCTGGAGCTGTTACTTCCCTTGCGTGTAGACGGCACACATGTCCACGTCTCTAAACTGCTGCTGCTGTTTTTGTCTTTAATGAGTGGCAGATGTTAAACTGGTCTGAAACAGCTTTGGGGTTGTCCAAAGATGTAATGTACATACTGTGAATTTTTTGTTTTTCATGTCCTCCTTTATAAATTTAAAGGTGTGAAATCTCTCTAGGGGTTAGATTTTCCTTAATTACAATCCTGTATTTTTCTGTTTCAAGACTTAAGTTGTGTATTTTGTCGAGGTTTGTCTGGTGGAGGATGCATGGTTGTTGATATCTTTGTAGAGAGGCTGCTTTAAGTGATGTTGCCTTCGTGTTCTGTGCTTGTTTCTGTACATTATCTTGCACCAAAGCAGCATGCACGCTATGTAGTGATTTGAGAGAATGGTGGAATAAAAATCTTTTTTTTCCCCTCAAGTTTTCTGGAAGAGACAGTTCTTGGTAAACTAATGAGAGTGGATGAATGGGTGAGTTCTGTTAGATGAAAGACTGACCTCCAGTGGTCAAAGATGGGTATCGCAGGTTATATCTGTATTGGGGCTTGAAGCAGACTCATTCGAATCTCTCAGGGGGAACACACATACTTTGTGACACTAATGTATAAAAATAGCAGTTTATTAAAGAAATATTGTCCATATTTACATCTTTGACAGTAGCTTTGTAAACAAGTGTTCATTATTTCGACAAAAAATAAGTTATTCAAGTGTCATGTTCTTATGATCCCAGTGTTGCCTTCACATTGTCTGACAGGATTCGTGCCTGTACATGAGTCTTAAGGAAATAGCTGTGGTATTATATAACATAAAATGAATTGAGTGATGTTCCCCTTCAAATATTGTGCAAGAAGGTTGAACCACGATCCTCGCATTGAGATACAACTTCAGAAAGAGCAGTTACTATACATAGCATAGTAACTGTAGTCCTCTGGTCCCTGGTGAGACTGAAATGAAGCAAAGAAAGTAGTCGAGACATAAAGGAGGAGTAGATTTCAGTTTGTGGTTTTCCTACAGTGTTTCTCTCCAACGCTGCTAGCTAGTGTTTCCTGCTTTTGATGTGTTCACAAAGAAGGAGTCACACGAGTAGCGCAGGAAGCGGTAGATCTCCTCTGCTCTGGATCGGCTCATGCAGCCTCCCTTCTGTATGGCTTCAATGGGGCTGCAGGAGGAACAAAAGAAGATGAGAGTAGGGGGAATAAGGCTCGTCTGTTCTTGTTGTGCCACAGCATACACACACACTCTTGCCTTACCTGTTTATGAGTTGGGCGATTGACCTGAAGTTGTGGCTCATGCTGAGGGCATGGACGTAGTTGACCGAGGGCAGGCTCAAGTAGAGCTGCAGGGCCTGCTCCCTGTGCTGCCCTTTGACCTCCAGCGGTACACTGATGCCCTGACCTTTACGCTGCTCCAGCTGTGCCAGGTCTGCCAGCAAGACAGCACTCTCCTCAGCACCTTTGCTCCACAGCAGGCGCACCCCGGTACGCACCAGTGCAGTCAGAGTGCTGTCAAAGTAACGTGTTCGCTGAAACGGACGCGACACCTCACCTGTGATGATTGTCATAAAAAACAGATTAAAAACTTCCTGTGAACAAAATAAACAGTACAAGACACATATTTAACATAAGTTGGCTCGATGTGAGGTCATCAAATCAACCTCACCTGGCTTGGTTCGGTCCTTCTCCACTACCAGACAAACCCGCTCAAACAACCCCTGCAAGCTGTTCACTCTCTCAACCAATCGCTTCCGGTTCTGCATCGAGGCTAAATCCGATTGGCTGTGCCTCTCGACTGCCATGCGGTTGCTAACAATGAAGTAGCTGCCGTCTAATGAGCAGACATGGATGGTGACTGCGTGGCGCTGACGGAGGCTGGTCATCAGCTCCACTCCACTGCTGATGCAACGACTGTCCACCAAGATGCAAACAGGCCCTGATGGTGCAGGGGGCTCATTGACTGGTGGATCCTGTGCTGTGGACGTCTGTGGAACTGAGGAGGTTGCGGGAGGCGTCTGGACCTGGAGGAAAACCTCAGTGTAGTTAATTTAAAGTCTTAGTGGATTAAATGCATGTTTAGGTGATCATGTGTTTGGTTTAAAGGGTATTTTTGAGTGTAGATCCCCTTTTGTTTTTCTGTCTAAGGGACTAATGGAGACAACAATTCTCAAAAGTGGTCCAGTGTTGAGTGAGATGGCTGCGGTCTCCAGCATGTCCACTACAGGTGTTTGTTTTTAAGCACTAAGTGTCTGACATTATAGAAAGGATTCCTACAGAGATAGACCTTTTTGTAAGAGTAAGACCCTTTTTGTTTAACCTGAAACGTCCCCATAATGTCTATCGTCTACATGTCTGTATGATATCAAAAATTGGATGTTTCTAAATTTTCCACAGCTCAATTCTAATAAAACAGAAACCTTGTAATCAGGTCACAACATATCACAAAGCAAATACTGCCATCTACTGGTCACCTGTCACAACACATAAAGCCTGTTGCAAGAACTCTTGGTGTCATGTTTTGAACAACTGTTGTACATGCTTTTATCTCTTTGCATCTTGATTATTGCAATAGTCTTTACTCCTGTCTTAATCAAAAAACCTCGCAACGACTTCAGACTGTTCAGAACTCAGCCACAAGACTTTTAACCAAAAAACACCAGTTCTAGCCTCTTTGCATGGCTCCCTGTTTGTTTTAGGATTGACTTTAAAATCGCATTGATTACTTTTCAGTCTCTTCATGGCTCCAGACTACATTTCAGACCTGTTAGTCCCTTATGAACCTTTACATAGTTTGAAATCCTCGGGCAGAGGTCTTCTGCTTGTCCTAGAGTCCAGGCTGAAGACCAAAGGGGACAGAGCTTTCGCCACAAGGGCCCCGAACTCTGGAATGACCTGCCCAAGGATATAAGGCTGTCTGAGTCACTGGCTATAAGTCTCTACTAAAAACGTATTTCTATAGGAAAGCATATATAGGACCACTGATTTAATGCCCATTTATTATCTTGATTTTGGCTCAATTTATCTTTTAATTAGAGGACATGTTAGCGGCTGCCTGCTGCGGTCCTCTCACTCTACACTGGACAAATTTCAAAAGCAGTTGTCCATGTTAGTCACTTAGGCACAAAAAAACCACGGGAAGAGGGTCCATGAACATCTCAGTGTCTTACTCTGACTGTATAGGTGTGTGTATGTGTGTTGCCTTTGCTTGTACCTGTGGTTGTTTCTTGGAGCATGAAGGCAACTCGGACTCTACAAAGTCTAGTTCATCAGAAAGCAGGTGTTGATTCTCTAACCTCTGGTGACACCTGCGGGAGAGAGAAAATGATGCTCTATTGGCAGATGGATGTTTGTGTTTGTGTGTGTGTGTGTGTGTGTGCTACCATATGAGAAATTCTTTACCTCTCCTTTTGCTGATTCTCTGTCACTGAGCCCCTCTGTGCCTTGCTCAACAATGAGACCTTGGAGGCTATAGTTGAAGATGAGGAGGAAATGGGTTTCTGCTGAGGCCCGCTGGGCTCCTGCTGTACCGCCTTTGGCCACAAGGTGTCAGCAACACCCCTTTCTGTTGTGAGACTTCTTTTCTCACCAGCCTCCTCTGTCTCCTCCTCACTAGAATCATTGATGCGTATGACACGGGTGCGCTTGGTTTTCACCCCGGCTCTCTGCACTGGTGGAGATCCAGCTGTCCTCTTAGTGCTGGCCCCGGCTCGGGCTTTGTGCAGGAAAACACGCCGTCTGGTGGCATACTGCCGCCGCCCCTCCACGTACGAGTCCTCGGGCATAAGTTCAATGTCTTCATCCTCCTCCTCACTGCTCTCCAGCTCCTCCACCTCACTTCCCACCACAAAGCTGTCCTCTGCGTACGTTTCATCCATCTCAGGCACCTGGGAACCAACATTAGGAACATGGACTGGGGTCAATAATTCAACTAAATGTTAATTAAACTACTTTGTATTTGGTTTCTTTTTAATGAGTTTTTTTATTTGAATTAAATAAAGAAAAGCCTGAGTATACCTGAGAAAATATGTCCATGTTGTGGTGATTTCTGTAAGACATCTTGAACTTTCCCTGGACTGCAGGGCTTCTCACCGACTTCAAATAAACACAGCGCATCTCTGAGTCTGTCATTGAGGGGAACAAACAGGAAGTAAAGTTGTACATGTACGTGTTCAGTAAATTCAATTTTAAAACCCACTAAAGGTTCATTTCTTGTAATAACCATGTTGTTGTACCATTCAGTCCCTGTGAGACGTGCATGTTATCAACTACAAAGCCTTCAAGGTCCTGGTCTGCTTCATCCTCTTCATCAGACGACACATCTGCCCCCTCCTCCGACAGCTCTGCCTCTTCATCCAGGAACTGACGCCCTTTTCGGCATGTGGGATGCTGAGGAAGAAGACATGGAAAATGTCAGGGCTGACAGATGCTGAAGGTGTCTGTGACAGATATTTATAGACTTGACATTTTTGTTTCGGGAGGAGGGTGTCGTTTTTTGGGCAAAAACTGGTCTGAGACATGTTGTGATTGATTTTTTTTAATGCAGCTATATAATTGATATTTTTAATATAACTGTATCAAATTGAGATGTGACAGTGTGAAAGGGGTCGTTTGGTAGAGCTGTTTTCAGAGAAAAAGCTCTTAAAATTCTCTGTACACTCACTACCTGCTGAGTACCAAATGGCAGACAGACACAGTAACTACCTGGTGAACAAAGTGAAGCGTTTTACAGCTAAAGGGTCAGATTTTGCACTCAGATGTTGGTAGAGACCAAAACCAGAGCTAAAGCAGAGTGATTATTGTACTTAACGTTCATCAGGTGGACACAAACATCCAAATGAATGACACCAGATGAATGATATGTTGGTTCGTAACTGCTGTATGTGTAAATAAGTTCGCCATATCCATTTTAAAGGTGATAATATGTCAATGTTATAAGGTATGTGGTTGTAACTTGTTTCCGCTTCCCCCGCATAGCCAAAAAACAAACCACGCATACAGGCATAGAGATCTGTTAACATCGCTCTAGATCCCTTGACAATCGGATTTGGATCGAGTGGAAAAACAGTGTTTATGATACTTTTGTTCAGCAGGATAATCTTCACAAATAAACACTACTTCTATGATTTTTGAAGCGTAAATGCAATTGCCAGAAGTAAAACGCTAACGTTAGGCTATTAACAAACTACACTGGTTACATGGCTTCAACGTCACCTCTGAAATGAGGCTGTAAAGCTGTGATCATCATGATAATGTTCTGTAGTCTCATTTAGCCACGTTAGCTTAAGCAGAGCAAATATTGGACTGCTTAAGCTAACATGGCTAAATGAGACTACAGAACATTATCATGTTAGCCACGTTAGCTTAAGCAGGCCAATATTTGCTCTGCTTAAATCTAACGTGGCTAAATGAGACTACACTACAATGAGACTACATTTAGCCGTGAAGCTGTGATCATCATGATAATGTTCTGTAGTCTCATTTAGCCACGTTAGCTTAAGCAGAGCAAATATTGGACTTACATTCATCAGGTGGACACAAACATCCAAATGAATATGTTGCTCCATAGCTGCTGTGTGTGTAAATAAGTTCACAATATCAATTTTAAAGGTGATAATATGTCAATGTTGTAACAAATGTTGTTCGTAACTTGTTTCCGCTGCCCCCAAGTGGCCAAAAAACAAACCAGGCAGTGCGGAGGAATGGAATTTACCTAACGTTGCTCTGGTTCCCTTGACAATTGGATATGGATGAAGTGGCAGAATGACGTAAATGACGTATTTGAAGCATAAATGCAATCGCCAGAAGTAAAACGCTAATGTTAGGCTATGAATAAACTACACTGTGGTCGCATGACTTTGACATCACCTCCAAAACGAGGCTGTAAAGTCACATTCGCATGAATAGTTTTCGCAATCGACACATCCTCCAGAAAGCTGCAACTATTTTAGCTTCTTCTGGACGTGTTCTTGCAGGCGAATGTTCTCTGTTGCCGTCAGGGCGTCGTTACGCCTTACCTGCATGTAACACTAACCTGTATTTAAAATATTTTATTCCCTCTGCTATTCGTGTTTTAAATTCTCTGTAATTTTTGTTTTAATTGTTTTCTTTTTTATTTAATCTCTTTCATAGTGTCATATAGTGTCTACATGCTATTGTATGATATGTTATGTAGTATGTGTGCAAGGCAAGCTGTTGAAACAAATTGCCCGTGGTGGGATTAATAAAGTTGTCTGAATCTCAATCTGAATTCATTGTGATGACGAGCTGTAGTCTCATTTAGCCACGTTCGTAAATGCCTTTTTTAAGACACATAAAAACTACAAAATTCACGAGTGGAGTATTTACTGATGTACTTGTGTCGTATAATGACAGCTTGAGTTAACCACAAACCAAAAACCAATTTAGAAAAACCATTGACTTTGAACGAGGTATTTTAGGACTCATTCTTGCATGACTCAATAAAGATCGAATGTAGAATAGAGCTTACATTTACAAATTACACCCATACACTTAAATCTATATACACAGCATTCAAGGTTCCACACTAGCAGCTCTGTAGTGATGACAAAAAGTAACACACATCCTCATCACTCCAACCAGCAACACCTGGAGCTGTGTTTGTATCGACACAGGTGCCAGGTGCCACATGAAACATAAATGCTATGATTCAGATCAGAGCGTTCTGCAGAGCCACCTGCTGTCACACACACCTTGGCTTTGCCCTGTTGGACTCGTTGCCTCTCTGCTCCAGGCGCTGTGGGTCTGCGTGTGAACACAGACTCATTCTGGAAATCATCATCAGAAACAGCTTCGCCCTCCGTGACATCAGACTGGAGACCAATGAGGAGAAATTAGTCAGATACTGTACACTGTTAATAGTTTATGAAGCTGCATATTATCAAACCATTAGGACTGGAGGAAATTAGTATCAGTAATGTGTGGAGCCAGAGTATTCTAATCAAACAGGCTGTATGGAGCAGGTTGATCCATGTGGTGTCATTTACCACTAATGAAGGAAATCTTACAGTATTAAGTGCAGTCGTGCGTTTCCTCCTCACAACCAACGGGGAGTCCACTTCACTGGAGATCTTTGACTGGCAGACACAACACACGTCACAGTTAACATACACACATGTGCATTCTGTATCTGTGCACAGTTTGGCAGTGTGATGTGGTTTTCACATATATGATCAGGATTTTTTTTTTTTTTTGCTGGAGCTACAAATGCTTCTTCACTGCATGCAAGCCGGTTGCCATGACAACTGCAGGTACCTTGGCAGTGATGGACAGAGGCAGCCTGAGCCGTCTGAATCAGATATCTCCTGTCTCGGTTGTTGTTTTTGAACCACAGCACAGAGGTTAACTCCTGATTTCTATCTACTACGTGTTTGTGATGTAAACACAATGATTATCATTTGAATGAGCATCTTTTTGTTTCCATCTCATTCGTCGTATGACAGCAAAAAAAGGGAAAATGTATGTAAACAGGAGGTACAATGATTAGAGATCAACTGACAGCAGATCTGAGAACTGATTGACTGTGTATGTATTTATTTTTTACATACATGGGTTGCAGGTTTTTAAAGGTGGAGACTGTGATTTGAACTCAACACCAAAACAAATACACCCATCCTGTCAGTGCTCCTTCAGAGGCTCCGCTATTATTTCCTGTTTTATTTATGTTATATTACCATTTAAGCCCCGTTTCCATCAAACACTTTCAGTATGGTACCTTTGGAACCAAAAGTAACCCTTCAGACGTCTTACCTAGACTTTAGCGTTTCTACTGCAGTACTCTTAAATATGGGTGGGGTTGTTGTCTCCCACTGCTCCGTCAAGCACTCACTGTATTTCCTCAATACTGGTGACATAGATAGTAGTCTGCGCCTCGTTCATCGTCCACAGAACGAGGTTGCACGCTGACATTTTCAGAACAAAATAAACCAGGCTGCAGTGAGAGTCTCTCTCCATGGGATATTTAAAAATGGCGGGTTTGTGCAGTTAGTCCTTCTCAGGCAAGCGCGGGGGTTTAGTGCTGCCGGAGCCCACAGGAAGACAGTGTTTGCATGCTCTGGACTCTGTGTACCATGGTGCATTGAGATTTATTACCAACTATGAGCCACTTACTCATCACTGTATCCTGTATGTTCAGGGTGGCTGCCTCTCTTTACAATTTCATGGACTTTTCATTGGCATTCTCTTGTTTGCAAAGCTATTCTTAGCCTACTTCCAGCATACTTAGATAAAAATGGCTATGCTCTCCGTTCTCAGAACATGTTTTATTGTCTATACCGAGGGTACGTACAGAGTTTGGCAAGCGAGCATTTATGTATGCAGCTCCTTGTATGTGGACTCTTCTGCAGAAGGACTTAAAGTTGCACTTTGGTTCCTCTCAGGTGTTTTGAAGCACTGTTGCAGGATTTTTGTACATAATCTTCTATATGCTGATGTCACGGTGTGTCTTAGCTGGTCTTTGTAATCATGTGTAGTTGCCCTTATTCACTTCTAATATACATTGACATAATTTGTGGCTTTTCTTTGTAGTAATCTTATTTTGTGTTTTATATTGCATGTTTTAGAGCTGTTTTGTTCTATGTTGTCTGTCTGTAACTCATGTTACTGCCTGTCCTTGCCAGGACAGGCAGTAAAAAGAGATTGAAAAAGAGATTTTTTAATCTCAAGAGGTTTTTCTGGTAAAATAAAGGTTAAATAAAAATAAATAAATAAAAGCACAAGCTATTTGGTGACATGCGTGGCTTATGTTGCATTTCAAATTATGTATTTTCACCATCTTATCCTTCAACAGTTCTAGGACAAACTGTGACTTCTTTGACTAGCAACATTATCTTTTAATCTGACAAATATCATATCTGTAATTTATGACACAATTCAAACAGGATCAAAAAATGATTTGTCTCTTGTGTGTGAATATTTTCATCTGTGATAGTAAACTGATAATCTTTTGGTTTTGGACTGTAAGCAACATTTAAAAACCTCACCATAGCCTCTGGTGAGAGGCTTCTTTCACATTTTTTCTTTCAACCAAATGATTAAGCGAGAGAAACAATCAGCAGAGTAATAAAATAATAAAAATAGTCAATTATTAGACATTAGTTGCGGCTCTGACATCGACAGGCCTTGCTCACCATTTCTGGGGATGACAAGGGATTGACCTTGTTCTGAGGTCTTCTTTTATGAACCACAACGTCATCGTCACTGTCGTTGTTGCACTCTAAGAAAGAAAGAGAGTCAGACAGAAAAATGCTTTAGCAGGTTCAAAATGGAGCAGAGTATATGATTAAAAGTAAACACACCTGCAGGAAGGAGAGAGTCCTCCTCCAGCTGTCTCCGTTTTAAGCTGGTGACTAAAGACAGGCTGTGAGGCCTGCTGCGGTCAGGTAAGAGCATCCGCCTTGCCCCTGGTGATGCGATTGGAGATGGGAGTGCCCCACCTTTAGACACCAAAGGCGAAGCCAGAAGAGAGGGCGTTTCTCTCTTTCTATGCTCTAACAGCATTTGTGGTGTAGACATCTTGGATTCACTGGACTGTGGAGGCCTTCTCTGTACATGGGAGATGTTGTAGGGGGTGGAAGAGTTAGAGACGGCCGGCAGAGATGCTGCGGAGTCGGCCTGCTTTGGAGAGGTCGGCATACAGGGAGCAGGTGCAACCTCTTCTTCTGCTTCGTCGGAGTCCTCAAATGAATAGCCGAGGTCAAAGTTGACAGAGAAGTAGTCATGGGAGCTTTCGAAAGACTTGGAATCTTGTGGGATTGTAGATTTACAATGAGCTGAGTCTGTCATTGAACTGTCTGTTACAGGTTTACTTGGTGCTGCTGTGTGTTTTGTCTCTGTAGTGCTGTAGGTTATCAGCTCTCTATGTGCGCTTTCAGCTGTGGGTGTATGTGTGTGTGAAGACATCTTCTCAGCACTAGGGGATGTCCTGGGTGTGACACCAGGAGTGGAGATGTCCGGGATGGTCATCTGCAGGAAGGCCTCGTCATCCCCAAACAGATCAATGCTCTCATCTATCCGACAGTCCCTGTCATCTCTCACACCGCCATGTGTCAAGTCTGACAGTTCCTCATTCGTCACATCATCCCAGAGACCCTCCTCCTCCTCTCTTAGCCCGTCATTCTTACTTTTTACTTCCTTGTACTTCTCAGTTTCCTCACCAACATGTTCCTCCTTGAAAACGTCATTACCTGCCACCTTGCTGTCATCTTTTACATCATGATCATCATCCACTTCTTCTTCTTCTTCTTCTTCTTCCTCTTCCCCGAAAACCTCATCCCAGGCTGGACTGTTTGCTGCCACGCTCTGCTGCTCCTCGCCAGGCCAATCATGATGCATTTCACCGTCCTCTTCATCAACGGGAAGCTTGTTTGAGTCCACCCTCAGGGGGGCAACGTCTGCATCACTCATCATCACCTCATCGTCGTCGTCGTCGTCGTCCACATCCAGGGTAAAGCTGACCTTAAATGGCTGAGGAGGCGGCTGAGGAGAGGGAGGAAGTGACGGAGCAGCCATGTCAATGTCTAAATCTTCACTTGGCGGTGGCGGCGGAGATCGGGACAGGAGCTCCGCCACGTTGGCTAGGATGACCCTCAGACTCTGATCCCTCTTTGGGAGGAGTTTACCAATGGAGGGAGGAGGTGATGAATCCCATTTGGGGAGGTAGAACATGGCCTGAAGTTCAACATCTTCGTCTTCGTCAACTTTTGTAAACAATTGTGGAATTCTGTCAAAATTTACAGGCTCACCACCTGTGTGCTCTGAGTTTATGACATCATTATTGACAATGGCACAGTCATCGTCCAGGTCAGATTCTGGACAGCTGTTTTTTGTGGGGAGAGGACAAATTGCCTCAGGTCCTGGGTAATCTGTGATGTCATCACAAGGCACCTCGGTATCATGTTCAACAGGAAGTTTTGTCACAGCGAATGTGGAAATTAAACTCTTTCCTCGAATATTCCCACTCTCCTCGTCATCGTCGGACAACGTCAAGTGAGACCGTTTGGCTTTGTTTTTGGCAATTTTAGTGCAGGTCTTTGAAGTCTTCGGTTTCTTTTGTCCTTTCTTTACGTGTCCAACAGCATCCCTTTCTTGGAGGTAAGGAAGAAGCTCCTGTTCGTAACGACACTCCCCCTGGACACAAACACACATGGAAGAGTTGTGTAAGAAACATCTCTCTGCAGGAGGACCAAGGTCAGGAAGCTGTAATCAGCCTCTGGACTCGCCAACCATTTTACAACACTCAGGGCAGCGAGTTCACCAATCAAAGAGCTTCTCAGGTCATGCTCATACAGTAATCTAATCAGGAAGTGTCCTATGAAGAGTTGTCACATGGAGCACATACAGACATCTGATGTAACGTCTGTTTTTTGTTTGTTTTTCTATAACACCAAGACAGACAACATCTTCCTCGATGTCAATGTCCTTCCTGTCACAATTGGACGTTGTTCACCGGCTCAATACAAAATCTGCCCAGAATAAAAACACGTTCCCATCTCCACCATCTCTTTCTTGTTTTATCTTATGCACAAGCGTGCACACACATCCTAATCATCCAGCACCTGTCATCTGTGCGAGCCATATGACCTGGAAGTGATTCATCTAGAGTGGCATCCTGCTTGGGCTGACGGGGTGCCATCGAACCTGTGACCAGCAGGAGGAAGATGCTCAATGAAGAGAAAAGAACAAAATGTCTTATGTGGAGGGAGAAAAGGAGCATGAGCGGAAACTGAAATACTGGTTTTGCCTATAAAGGAGGCGATAAAACTGGATGAGTGGAGACCTTATGTATCTGTATTAAATAAAGCTTCACTCAATAGAGGGGGAAACGACTGAGGAACAAATGGCGTTATGCATTGTTAAAGATGGGAAACTGTGTTTAAATGACCATCTTATGGTGGGGAAATTGGTTTCAGGGAACATAAATGGTTCCTCCTTTATTCTGTTTTAAAACTGCATTAGTGCAGGTGACTAAGCTTTATGAATTCCCCTCAGACAGGTAGCAGTTTAGATCCAGATTGAGTAAGACCCTGCTGTGTCGTTACATCAACAGGTCACTAAGTGCAGAAGTACTGTATGGCGTCACCTGCACAACGTGATTTTGCCAAGTAGGACAGACTCCTGGATCAACATCCCACATCACGTTCCAGAACAAACATTGCAACAACGAATCAGAGCCACCTAACATCATCAATGTGCTGCTCCTACGCTTCTTTCAAAATCAACCTTACGCTAAGCCCCGCCCCTTTGTTATGGTCCGACAAGCTGTCGCAGTAAGCATGGAGCCCACACTGTGACTAACTGCACTCCCTGAAGAAATATTATCATATTTTTGGAAAAATGAAACAGTGATTCCAGAGAGAAGCAGACAGAGGGGTCTACAGTCTGTGTTTGAAGGATATATCCAGGATGTCAAACTGACTCAGCAGCAACAACAGGTTAAAAAGACAAAGATAGTTAGAAGCTAAAGCCGAACTATAGGCTACAGATCACAGTGTAAAAGTGAACCACCACATCACTGCTGATCGCCACACAAGACAATGAATATAAAAAGAAACTTTGCTGATATTGAACCAGCTGTGTGGCATCACAGTGTGTGCAGATGAACAGTGTTTGGCTTCGCTGCTTCCCTTCACTGGTTCCTGTACAGCAGGGTCGGTCTTTATTTCACTGTTATAATTAGGGCTGGGTGATATGACCAAAATGTCATATCACGATATAGGTAATTTCATATCCCGATAACGATACATATCACGATATAGCACATTTTAATCCAATGAATAAAAAGTCCCCCCCCACCCCTCGCTGCTTGTCTGCACTTTCTCAGCGCTTTGGGGCTGAGCCAGCGCAGCAGAGACAGACAGCGGTGGAGTTATATAAACTCATTATGTTACTGTAAGTGTCGTAAAAGCTTCGCGAATTACAAAGTCAAGAAGAGTAATTTATCAACGTGATCCGTGCAAAAGATGGACGGACTCCAAATGACGAAAAATATTGCCGTAAAAAGTGTCATTTGCGTCACAACGATATAAACGACAGAGCAAAATATGACATTTTTCTCTCATCACACGATATATATCGTCATATCGCACAGCCCTAGTTATAATCATTAAAAAGCAAAAGCAGCATGTGTATACATTCAGTAGGCTATATCTTCAGTAGCTAGCTAGCTAACCCTACACTTTTCAGGGTTTGATTTTGGTTTTGGAACAGGGAAGAAACGTCTATCTTTTTCCAACCTCTCCAGGTAACGAGTATCATTAATACACGACGTGCCCCAGGCACAACATTTAGCTCTAAATCCACAAAACCAGCCTGAAAATGAAGGAAATCTGAAACGATTGCATTAGAGCACAATGAAGCACAGTTGTGTTGTTGTCGGACCCTGGTCTGAGCCGGCCCAATGCTACACTATGATTGGCCAGTCTGCATCTGGGGTCGGGACTTAGCGAAGGGTCAGTTCCTTTGTGCTTCTTCAGAACTAAGATAGCTTTCCAAATTGAAGTTCGCACAATAAAACAAAATCCTCAGTAACGCTGAACAAAAACCGTATAAGCTACTGCAGGGTTAGCAAGTTAGCTTGCTAACTAGGTAGGCTATGCTAACAAATAAGCTAGCCAATAGCCTAAAATATTGTTCATTAACATTAACTTAATTCTGCTGTCTTATCCTAAAGTTGTCCTTTTATACTATGATGACAGAATAAAGTTGTTGTTGTTTTTTATTGGGAGCAGCTACAGTGTTGCGAGTCTTTTTCTTTCTTCCTGAACAACACTGGTGACCACATAAAGAATTGTTTTGGGAGAGCTGTCCATGTACCAACTTTACAAATAGGAATTATGCTGGATGCGCATCGAACAGAGCACGCCAAACAATCTGACTCGGCTCTTGGTTGTGGGCCTGATACAGAGCAAGAGTCGGCACACATGAGGGAGAACGCTCGAAATTCTGCCAGCAGCAATTTTTGTTGCTAGAGTTTTCAATTGACTTTTTAGTTGAGCAACATCGCTTGGGTTTTTTAGTAATATTGAGTAATTGCTGTAAATGCTCCTGTTCTCATTATGTGAGCTGATTTGCGACTATATCGTGTATATCTACAGTAAGATGGCACCGTGCACTGTCAGCTTCAGTCTGATGAAGAGCAGTTAAGCTCGAAACAATCACCTAGGTGTAATAAATAAGTGAACAATGGAGCCCTGCAGTGTGCCAGCTATTTATTTGTTTATTATATGAACCTGAATAAGTGACCTGAATAATTTAAATCCTTAATCAGCAGGTTTCTGCTTTGAGACGTGGTGACAGTGAGGTGTAGTGCGTCATCACATTTTTTTTTGTTTACTCTCAGGTCAATCACACCAATCAGTCAATCAGCACGTAACTGTTGTTCTGATAAGTTTGTTTGCCAACACACTTATGTGACAGCTTTGAAATGTTCATCTCACACAAGCAGACACACCATGGCAGTATGCCATTATACAGAGCGGTTTGTATCGGCAGTGAATTGGCAGTAACTCAGTTACTGTAGTCATTGCAAAGTTTACTGTGAAAAACAAATAAAAAAGAACAATGAACAATTATTTCCTCATATTTGTTCTACCTCCCATAACCCTTTATTTAGACAAACAAGCCTGGAGGCAAACACTGAGCAGCTTGCAGGCGTCACACGCTGTACAGCCGAAGCATGATGGCTGTAATTAACACATCAACACTCAGCAGTTTTCAATGAGGACTGAACACGTTCAACAGGCGAGGCTTGTCACTGGAAAAATATCACCTATGTCTGAACTGAACAATATGTAAGTATTTATCGATGGTGTTTCCCTGCTGAAAATAAATCAACAGGAGCTGACAGGGCTGTGGTAACATTGTTAACGGTAACGTGTCAGCAAAATCTGATGGAACATGAAACAATGTAATAGCAAGGATATTTTGAAAGGTAAAAACTGACACACGCTATAGGAAATTTGTTTTTAGCTACTTAACTCCACTGATCCTCATAACGACCTACTGACACCATTCTAACGCAGCCAAATCATTTGTGTTATGGCGAATACATGTGGGGAGACAAGATGGGGCCCTGCTCACTGGGTTAATTTGGGTGCAGATGAAACAGAATCTGTAATTCTTTAAAAAAATATATCAGATTTTTAACTGACATTTTCATATAATAATAATATCTCTGTACATGAAGGGACAGAGAGATAGCAATAGTAAAAA